CGCAACTACCAGGCCGCTGGCAAACTAAGGTGGAAAAAGCTGATGTTTCAGTCGATTGCAGAGCAGCAGCAACTGGATGAAGAAATGGCCGAATGTACATTTCGACCGCGGTTAGTTGCGAGACCGAGACGTTCGGTAACTGCAATTTCTCGACCGTCGAAAGCTCGTAGGTCTTCATGCGCTGCAGCAGCAGCGAACTCGGCAGTGTCTCGAAGTCAAAGCAAACAAACCAATGGAGAAGTTTTCGATCGTTTAAACAAACCCCAAACCAACACATCAACTCCGACTCATGTACAATCTTGGTCTGGCAATAAGTCAAAGCGGATATCGAGCCAAGTGGAGGCTGCATTCATGGCGCGGCAAGAACGCGATCAAGTTGATCGGCAGGTACCTTAGTCACCTGCAGGTATACACTTGCTGTGCTGTTATACTGACCTTGTTTTGCTCGACAGCGTCGACGCTCGGAGCTTGCAGCTCAGCTACATCACTTCCCTTACAAGCCGAGGCTCTCAAGGCACTCACAGGAAATATGCACAGCACTGCTTGAGAACGACACTGATCAACATGCTTGCCATCACCAAAGAGAGCACAAGACCTTGAAACCCAAAAACCGTGTCCGGTATTCGATTCCTCCATGCACAAGCGTCTGTAGCAACAAACATACGCCGGATTTCACTCACGTCCCGTTCACGACGCTTGTCGAAGAACTGAAACAGCAAGAGCAACGCATGAGAGGCATGACTAAGATATATACAGCAACTAAAGAAACATTTGAGCGCTAACCTATTTCATTTCGACGTTAACCATTTTCCTAAGCTAAAGACGAAACATGTGAGACAGTGGAATGGGCAAACTGCTCATATCCGCAACGCAAAATCAGCAAGAAGAATGGACATTTGACAGCAGGAGTCAAGTGTGCAGTTCTTCTGCACCGAAAGCGCAGACACCGGATACGGCAGAGCCGATTCCACCCCACTCTCCATCACTGGAAAGCTGACGGCGGAGTGATTTTCTCGTAGCGGCTAAAGTACTGGGCAAATAATAAGCAGGAGACAATATACACATCATCCAGCTCCCAGCACCTTACAGCTCGAGCTCCTTCACCGTTTCCCACGTGAAGTCCGCGTCCTCGCGACCGAAGTGGCCGTAGGCGGCAGTCTTCTGCATCACCGGACGCTTCAGCTGCAGAGTCTTCTGGATCATACCCGGACGCAGGTCGAAGTTCTTCTTGATGATCTCCACCAGGTCGTCGTCAGTCAGACCCTCCTTCACCGTGCCGTACGAGTCGACGTGGATCGACAGCGGGTAGGGCACACCGATGGCGTACGAGAGCTGCACAAGAAGACGGTGGGCAAGGCCCTTGGCCACAACCGACTTGGCAACCCAACGGGCAGCGTAGGCAGCCGAACGGTCGACCTTGGTCGTGTCCTTGCCCGAGAAGGCACCGCCACCGTGGGCGCCCCAGCCGCCGTAGGTGTCGATGATGATCTTACGGCCAGTAAGACCGGCGTCACCGTGAGGGCCACCGATCACGAAACGTCCAGAGGGGTTCAAGTGGTACACCGTCTTGTCGTCAAGGTACTTCTCCGGGATAACGGTCTGAATGACGTGCTTCATGAGGTCAGCAGCGATCTGCTCGTTGGTCACATCGTCGTTGTGCTGGGTGGAGATGACCACGGTGTGCACACGCTGCGGCACCATGCGGCCATCCTCCTGCTTGTACTCAACGGTGACCTGGGTCTTGCCGTCGGGGCGAATCCAGTCAAGCGTACCGTTCTTGCGCACCTCAGTCAGCTTAGAGCCGAGCTTGGTAGCCAGCACGTGCGACAGGGGCATAAGCTCAGGCGTCTCGTCCGAGGCGTATCCGAACATGATACCCTGGTCACCGGCGCCGACGTCCTCGTCCGTCACCGAGTCCACAGACTGGGCGATGTCGGGCGACTGCTGCTCGATGGCCACAATGACGTTGACCGTCTTGTAGTCGAGGCCCTTGGCGGGGTCGTCGTAGCCGATCTCCTTGATGGTGTCGCGGATGACCTTCTCGTAGTTGACGATGGCCTTTGTGCTGATCTCACCGAAGATCATGACCATGCCGGTCTTGGCGCACGTCTCGCAGGCAACGCGCGAGTTGGGGTCCTCCGACACGCAGGCATCAAGCACAGCGTC